GATCTGGCAGGGAGAGCGGCAGATGAGCATAGCATCCCAGAAACACGTTTGAGTTGTTATAAATGGGCCGTCGCCACAGGTTGTTTGATTAGAAGACGTATTTTAAGAGCCACTCTTTTTGTTTTTGAGAATGAAGTTTCGGGCCCCACGGTGAGACAGGTACGAAGGGCTCAACATAGATCTATGCCCAACGCCCTCGCCCAAGCCCAAGCCAAGACCACACGCATTTTAACTGATGTGAAATCTAGGTGGTCCTGTAATTGTTGCAACACGTCGCTCAGTAAGATAGCCAGCAGCAAAGATTTAGATGTTTGGTTGACCTCCGAGTGCCTCGGACCCCCTCTAGAGCTGCCCAGACAAGCCCAAGCCCAGCAACTGGCCATGGGAACGAGAGTTGGTGACCCGTCCCATTGCTTTGCGCATTTTGAACCTTAATGGGTGTGTACGGCATGCGGGTGTAGAGCTCTAAGAGGGAGAGGCCATCTGAGAGGCCTTGCGGAGGAGTGTAAGTGTCAGAACGGTCAGCCCCCCACCAAGATGGGGGCCTGGGTGATTTCACGTGTGATGGAGGGCCGCCCTCTCGGATACTCCTCCTCGTCCTCCTCCTCGTCGTCGTCCTCCTCCTACTCCACCTCCTCCTCCTCCTCCTCCAGAGCGTCCTCTGGCCCCTGCTGACCACACCAAGTTCGGAGGCCTTTGAGAAGGCCTCGGGGCCGACAAGGTGCCCAGGCCCCAGAGGGCCACAAGGGTTCCCTCTGGCTCTCCGGCCATGTCGTCTTGGACCGCACCAGGAGGTTCCAGGGACGCTGGCCAACAGGCGTCCACCGTGCCGGGCCGCTGGCTTCCACGCGGCTGCCGAGCCGTTGCCCAGGTCGCTCGCTCGCCCGCCGGCTGGCCGGCGGGCGCGGGCAGGAACGTTCTTCTTGCCGGCCGTGCTCGCCTGCATCCCGTGCTCGTGCCTCAAGATCGGGCCTGACGCGGAGGAGGCGAGGCGGGTCGGGGGCCGCCGCCCGGATGGCCCGCGCCCTCGGTTCTCTTCGTCTTCGGCCGCGCGTGCGGCCGGTGTGCTGCCATAGGAGAGTGCCATACCCCCAGCGTGTTCAAGAGTTTACCAGTTTGAAACATATCCCTATCCCTATGTTTGACATCACCTCACCTCGATGCCGATCTTAAGGATTCCCTCAGTTTCTGAGGGCCTATCCCTAAGATTGTCCTCGCTTTTTGCTCGCCCATCTTAGGGATAGGGATACGTTCGAGGCTGGTTAAGAGTGCTCGACGCGGTGGTCCCCGCCGTGGTGTCTACTCGTGCTGTCACTCGTTCGCGATTTCTGCATCCCCGAAGATCTTCGCAGCCCCGCGGGGGGGCGGGGCTCCCAAGACCGCTGTCCACCTCTGGGCAGATTTCTGCAGGGATGCGTTCTGCGCAGGTACGTTCTGAAGTGCCGTTGTTTCACTGTGTGGCGCAATGCACATCGCTTCTCTAGCTTGTGCACTGAGTAGGTGCGATTTGGTGTTGAAGTTTACCTTTGCGCTGGATATGGTGAGTTCGCAGATGTTGCGAATGTGTTTTCGTCCTTGTGTTGCGCACCTGCTGGACACATTGATGTATGATTATGTGTTGAGTGAGTCCGCGTGTTAACATGTGTACTCGTATTCGTTCCTCCTCCACTGAGCAGATACATCAGCTGTCAGGCACGCGGTGATGATCTGTGTGGTGGTAGGTGGGGGAGTTAGTCGGCGGCGCGCTCAGGGGGGCGGCGCGGGGGGGTGCGGCCTTCGAAACAGCCTGAAGTGTTTCTATGAGTTGTGTGTTTGTTTGCGTGTGTGTGTGTGTTGCACACATCTGGTGTAGATGTGCTGGTCTACCCCAAGCAAAACATCTATGAGTGGTGCTCTCTACCTGCTGCTGGAGACGGAGGTGCGCCCAGCGTGGAACAGAAGAGAGGCTCGGCGGGCAGTTGCCTACACCCGCTCTGAGCTTGTTTCGGCCACGCGCAGAAGGGGGGTATGGGGGGAGGGGGGAAGGCTTCTTAGGAGCACCCCGGCTTCTTAGAAGGCGCGGGCTGCGTCCTTAGATGCAAGGCCAGCGCCGTCCAAGAGGTAGCCTCCCTCTAAGAAGCCTTCCCCCTTCCCCTCCCCCACTCTGCGCTCCGCCAGTTGTTGGTGAAGCTTGCTCGATCCCAAACTTTGAGCCCATAGCTTCGAGGCAGGGAACTCATCAGAGCCCTCCAGCCTCCTTGTCCGTCTTGGGGGCTTCTTGGAGCCCTCTTGGCCCGCCTTGGGGCCCACTTGGGTTCGGCGGCGAGCGAGGGGGGGAAGTAAGAAGGAGAAGGCCTTCTCGGAAGGCTCGGAAGTCCCCCCAGCCTTCCGAGAAAAGACACGCATAGCTTCTCAGAAGGCGCGAGGGGTTCGGAGAAGTCTCGCTACTCCAGATTTCATAATACAAGGGAGGGGGTCTGGACCCTTCAAGACAAGCCATTTCAGACCCCCCCCGTGGGAGAACCCTCCAAAACATCGTCCCCAGACCCCCCCCCAGCCCTCCGAGATAGCCTAGAAGAGACCCCCCCCCGAAATGAGACCCCCCTCCCTTTTATTACGAAATCTGGAGTACCTTCTGGGAAGGCCTGCTCCTGCGCACTTCCCCCCCCCCTCGCTCGCCGCCGACGGATGTCCGAAGCTGGCCCGTCTTAGGGGGCCCGAGGGAGCCGCGCGGCAAGGCGCGGCGAGCCCCAGGGGAGCCGCGGGAAGCCCCGGAGGGTTCGAGGATGTGGTACTGAAAGAGGCAGGGCGCAGGAGGGGGAGGAGGAGGAGGAGGAGGAGGAGGAGGAGGAGGGAGGAGGACGAGAGGAGGCGGAGGAGGGAGGAGGAGGAGGAGAGAGGAGGAGGAGGAGGAGGAGGAGGGGAGGAGGGGGGAGGAGGAGGAGGAGGAGAGGAGCAGGAGCAGGGGGAGGAGAGGAGGAGGAGAGAGGAGGAGGTAGGAGGAGGCAGGAGGAGGAGGGTGAGGAGCAGGAGCAGAGAGCAGGCAGGAGCAGGGAGCAGGAGGAGAGAGGAGGAGGAGGAGAGAGGAGAGGAGGAGGAGGAGGCAGGAGGAGGAGGAGGAGGAGGAGGAGGAGCAGGAGCAGAGAGGAGCAGGAGCAGGAGCAGGAGCAGGAGCAGGAGAGGAGGAGAGAGAGGAGGAGGAGAGGAGGAGGAGGAGGAGGAGGAGGAGGAGGAGGAGGAGCAGGAGGAGGAGGAGCAAGAGCAGGAGGAGGAGGAGGAGAAGGAGGAGCAGGAGTCGGAGAAGGAGGAGGATTTGAGAATATGGTGCTAAAAGAGGCAGGGGATTCTTCAAAGCCGTCCTGGTTTTTTGTAAGTGGCCTTTGCAGCAGCCCCCCCCTGGGGCCCCATCGAACAGGACGCGCCTCCGCCTTCTCGGAGCGGCCCCCCCGCCCTCCGCCAAGATCCTCCCGCCGCCGCCGCCACTTCAGGGAGGAGCAGGAGGATAGAGGAGGAGGAGGAGGAGGAGGAGGAGGAGGAGGAGGACGAGGAGGAGGAGCAGGAGGAGGAGGAGGAGGAGCAGGAGGAGGAGGAGGAGGAACAGGAGGAGGAGGAGGAGGAGGAGTTAAACAATAATTTAAGAAGCCGGCACGAGCGCAGGAGGGGTGGGGCTTGGGTCGTCTTGGCGCCACCCAGGCTCCCTCTTGCCGACGGGCCCGGACTTGGCAGCTGCTCCCACCCACCCACCCGCGGGTTTGGGCCCCAGCTCCGGGGCGGAAATCTATCCACGGCCACGCTCCTTCAGAATAGGGGCCGTCAGCGCTGCCCGTCCTGGAGGGTCCTCGTCGCCACGGCTGCAGTCTCCTTGAGATTATGCTTAGGTCCAGTGAGTAGTCTCCTCCTCCTCCTCCTCCTCCTCCTCTTCCGCCTCCTCCTCCTCCTCCTCCTCCTCTTCCGCCTCCGCCTCCTCCGCCTCCTCCGCCTCCTCCCCCCCATAGTTTTGGGCCCCGATTCCTGGGGCGGGAGGTCCATGGCCACCGATTGGGGGATCGTTCTTCGGGGACATCGGCAGGCGGTTGATCCGGCCATCTTCGGGCCATTAGGGGGGCTACGTATGCCCGTGCCCACCGCCGACTGAGGTCGCCGAAATGCCCCGCAGATCGATCCCTCGGGCTCCAGGCGGCGGTCATGTGTAGATCCCAGCCTCCCACCGGCGCCGGAGCACCGACGGCTGCGGCCCCGAGCGCGGAGGTTCCCAAGCCGAGGTCCCTGCGCCGAAGCCCGCAAGCGTTGGAGCCCCCGCGGCGGGGCCCCGCCGTCGGAGGGCTGCGCCGCGCTCCCCGTGTCTGGCCTCTGTCCATCTCCGCCTGCCGCCCCCTCTCCTCCTCCTCCTCTCCTCTCTCCTCCTCCTCCTCCTCCTCCTCCTCCTTCCTCCTTCCGTCCTCCTCCTCCTCCTCCTCCTCCTCCTCCTACTCCTCTCTCCTCCTCCCTCCTCCTCCTCCTCCTCCTTCCTCCTCCTAACTCCTCCTCCTCCTCCTCCTCCTCCTCCTCCTCCTGTCGACTACACGTAAGAGTGACCTTTCGCCGGAGTGACTTTTGGTGCGGGCTCAGCGGGCTCCCCCCGATCGCCGAGCGCGATGCGGTATAAGCGGCCCGCGCCCTTGGGTTTGGCTCCCTCGCGCCCCCGAAAAGCTGAGCATCAAAGGTCACTCTTACCCAGGGTCACTCTTACGTCTAGCCGATCCTGGTTCTTCGTCTTCCTCAGCCCTCCCTCTCTCCTGCCCTGTGCTCTTTGCCCCCTCCATTCTCCGTCCTCCTCCGTCGCCCCTCGTGGTGCTCCGTCGCCCCCCCCCCCTGTTCCGATGTCCGCCCTCTCGTTCTCATTCCCTGCTCCGCTCCGTCATGGCGGCGTGGCGTGGTCGTCGGTCTCGTCGTTTCCCCAACCCTGGCACGCCAGCATCAGTCGACACGCCAGGATCAGTCGACACGCCCGTCGACAGCATCTGAGTCTATATCAATTTGAGGTGGGGTCGGTTTTGTTCCAACTGATATTTTTATACGCTTGTCTTGATGTCTAGAGTGGCACCAGATATTCAAGTGCCTACGGCATGCGGCAAGTTCCACCACAGTGCCAGCGCAGCCCTTTCTCATCTGCACGTCTTGTTCCTCAGAATATGCTGTCGCATGGTGCCGCCCACGTGGATCGGAGGCTCAGATCTCATTTGGCGGCCCCGTTGCAGGAAGGTCGTTCGCAACATGTACTCAGTAGGAGTGAGAGGAGACATAGATGGCAGCGGGAGAGGGAGGAACAGGTGTTGTAACTACTCGGGCGTCTCGTTAAGTCGGGCGTGTCCCTCTACAGGAGGAAGATTCAAACACAGTCAAACAATAGTCAGGGGACGATGTTTTGAGTATTTGCTGAACCTTTTGTTTCGCAGTGTTTAGCGATTTGTTTGAAACACTTTGTTTGGTTATTGTTTGCGTATGTTTTATTTGTCGTTCCAAACCCGCCTGTAGAGTCGGGGCGCTGAAGAAGGAAGCCTTTCTGTTGGGGAGGGGCTCCGTGCTCCTTAGTTGTTTCACAGCTTGCCTTACTTAGGTTGTCCTTAGGTTTTCGATGGGAGATCGAAGCTCAGCTTGTGGAAACGAGGGGCCTCGTTCCTTGGGTCGACGCCCCGCCTGTAGGAGGACATGCCCGACCCAAGCGTCTCGGCTCCTCCTCCTCCTCCGTAGCCATTTTGGCTCAAGATGCTTCGTTCCACAGGGGAACACGTGGATACCTCACAGCTTGCCCTTACTTAGGGATCGAAGCTCAGCTTGTGGAAACGAGGGGCCTCGTTCCTTGGGTCGACGCCCCGCCTGTAGGAGGACATGCCCGACCCAAGCGTCTCGGCTCCTCCTCCTCCTCCGTAGCCATTTTGGCTCAAGATGCTTCGTTCCACAGGGGAACACGTGGATACCGCTAGTCCGCGGCCAGTGCCAGGGCTCCTGAGCCCGACAGTTTTGATCGACCCTCGTGCCTCCTGCTGCCCGCAGGTGAGCCCTCGTTCCTCTCGTGCAGCATGGGGAAGAGCCAGCAGGAGGCGCGCCGCGCTGCCGAGGGCTATGCCAAGTGCCAGTCCTGCGGGTACGCCTGGAACTTCAGGCGCAACCACTGGTGCTGGAAATGTGAGAGCCCGGTCAAGCCCTCTCCTGGGCGTGTGCAGCAGCCTGGAGGCGTATGGGGAGCGAGCCCTGGTGGCGGTGGCCCCAAGCGCGGCAAGTCCTCGCAGCCCGCGGCCGAGGGGGGCGCCCCCCAGCCTGCTGGCCCAGGACAGGGTGAGCGTCGCCAAGCCTTTCCTGGCGCTCCATGGGTTTCGCAGGGGGGCGCCAGTGATGAGCTTGCGCGTCTCCTGGCGTGCCCCGACGAGGGCATCCGTTGCGAGCTCGAGAGGGCGCTCAAGGCGGCGAGGGAGTACAAGGCTGCACCCCCGCCGCAGGCCGAGCGCACCCTGGCGCAGAAGTTGCAGTCAGCTACGGACCGACGGTTGCATTGGCGCAAGATCCTCGATGAGGCCGCCGACGCGCACACGGAGGCATAGGACAAGCTGGCGGAGGCGACGGGGTGGCGTGGCCAGTGCGCGGCGAACTTCGACTCTGCGAGGAGGCCGACCTCCTCATCCTCAGGGCCAGGGAGACGGGCGCTGCGGCTGCATCCTTCGACCCGCCCCGCCAGGTCACCTCCAATTTCGACGCGGAGAGCTTCGAGGACTGGCAGGACTTGGAGGAGGAGGCCCAGGAGGAGCTGCGTAAGCTCTGCACCGAGGGCAAGACCATCATGGAAGAAGCGAGGGCCAATTTTGAGGCCAACAGCCGCTTGCAGCAGCAGAGGGTCAAGGAGTTCCGCGAGGCCCAGAAGAAGCGCAGACGGGTGCAGGAGGACCCCGCCTCCCCAGCGCCAGGCCAACCGCCGCGCCAGGAGGCCCAGTCAGCTTCGGAGGCGGCGACGGGCGCTGGTGGCCAGGCCCCCGAGAGCGCAGCTGAGGCAGCTGCCGAGCCCCGCGCTGACAAGGGGGCGGCGGAGCAGGAGCGCTGCGCGAAGCAGGTTGGCGAGGCGGCGTCCATGGCCAGCCGCGCGGCCAAGACTGCCGCTGCCTCGAAGGCCAAGGCGACGCCTGGCGCTGCCGGAGGGGCCCCATGCAGCTGCTCCTCCTGCTGGTGCTGAGCATGGTGTGGGGGGCGGCTTTAGCGACGTCGTGCTGCATGACTACCGCCTGCCCGACTACACCTCGGCCTGGACCTCGCGGTACATCGGCATGGAGCAATGGCGGCTGGGCACTTTGGCAGGTGAGAGCGGGGCTAGACGCATCGAGAGTGAGCCGCGGACGCACGGGTGGGCGTGTCCTCACTCCATGCGATCCCCGTCGCTGAAGCCGCCGACGGGCGGGTGGCCGATGCCTTCGGCGACGGGTCGGGCCCTTGCCCCTGCCTGCCTATGCCGCAACATGGACCAGACGGAGATCGACGCCTTCGCGGACCTGGACGACGAGCCCTACGTGCACAGCGAGTGCATGGGTGAGCCTTCTCCGCGGGGGCCAACACCAGCTACTGGCACTGCGAGCCCCCAGCGGCCAGGACGCATGACGGAGCTCAGACCGCAGCGGCGCACTCCTGAGGAGAGGCCTCGGCAGAGAACAGAGGGCAAGCAGGCGTCCATCCTGTTTGCCAACATCACTGAGTGCGGCCCCCAGGCTGCCAAGGTCTCCGCAGAACGAGGCAAACGCAAGTACAAGACCATCGCCTTCGTGGAGACCCACGCCACGGCGGAGCAGCTGATGGCAACCCAAGTGGCCTTGGGGAAGGACGGCTGGAGGGTAGCTGGCACGCCTGCCACGCCCTCTGGCAAGGCGAACACAGGCACCTCTGGAGGAGAGATGTGGTGCCTCGACAAGAATTTGGCGGCGACGACGTACGAGTGCCACCGTCGGCGACATCTTCTGGCCACGGGGAAGGAGGTCTTCGTCGGCTTCTGCCCTGTGGTCCTCCATCTGAAGGAGGGCAATGTGGTCTTGGTGGCGATGTGCCTGCAGCCAGGGCGTCAGCCGCAATCGGCTCCTGGCGGTGGGCAGCTACGTGTCCACCCTGTCCGACCCGTGGGTTCCCCTGGCGGACTGGAACCTCGAGCCCCCCGAGTGGGGCAGAAGCGAGTGGCTTGGCAAGGTCGGCGGAGCGGTGGCCACCCTTTTCGAATGCAAGGGCGACCTGTGGCAAGGGTCAGGGGCGCATGTACGACTATGCTGTGGCTAAGCAAGGGTGGCATCATCGGCTCCGCCTGCAGGCCATCTTCGACGTCCCGTGGAAGACCCACTGTGCGGTCGAGGTCATCATTGAGGGCTCCGACCGCAGATGGCACCATGACGAGCTCGTGGTGGCCCGCAGTCTCCCAGCCCGAGAGAGGCCGCCCAAGGCGCCAGACCCAGAGAGCAAGACCTCGAGGCGCAAGGCGGAAGCCCTGCAGTCGCGGGCCCGTGCCTTGCCGCCGGAGTTTCAGGAGACGCTCCTTGGGACCCACGAGCAGGGCAAGGACCGGCACCCCGAGGAGGAGAAGCCTTTCTTCATCACGGAGGACGCGTGGTCAGGCTGCTGCCCTGCATGGGAGGAGCCCGTTCCCCGAGCAGGCCAGATGGAGTACTTCATCAACGCCGGTCGCCCCGATGACGCCCAGGTGGTCAGCCTGGCGCATGCGAAATGGATATCCCAACTTGAGGAGGCCCACATCGCTGTCGAGCGCATCCCCCCTGATCAGGCCAAGGCTTGCCGAGGCCGGGTGCATGGGCGCACCATCAAGCGGGCCAAGGCGGAGACTACCCCAGAAAAGGGCCCGCACCGTCGACGCTGCTGTTGAGCTGTGGAGCACCCCCACCACCTTGGCCATCCGAGCACGAGCCCTGGTTGCGAACAACACGGACAGCGACCAGCTGGATTGCGCGCTGGGCGACCTCGAGCAGCGGTGCGTCACCATCGCGGACGAGGCCCACCGCCCCAGGTACTTCGGCGATGCCCTCAGTGCTGAGTTGGAGGAGTGGAGGAACGAGAAGGACCCTCTCCTGGCGTCCATCGGAGAGGACTTCCACCGCATGTCGTCCTCCGACCTCATCGGCGCACTCGACCCTCTCATTGAGGTGTCCGGGCGCTGGGCGAGCAGAGCTTTGGGCAGATCCCACGCCAAGGCACGGCGTGGATTCATCAAGTGGGCTAAGGAATCCTGGAAGTCAAAGGCGGGGGTCATCTACAAACGCGCGCGCGAGCCGCAGGCACAGCAGACTGAGGTGCTGCTACGCGACACTGCTGTTGCCGACCCGTGCACTATCATGCGTGTGAAGACAGATGTTTGGGATAAGGTGTGGTCGGACCCAGAGTTTGACGCGGCCAAGATTCTACAGGATCTGAGTGGTCTCCGTGCGCGTGCTGCTGAGGAGGCCCTGGAGCCCATCACCTTGGACAGGCTCGATGTGGTGCTGTCTCGGACGTCGCTCAAGAGGGCGAAGGGCATTGACAACATCACGGCACTGGATATCGCGCGCTGTCCACCGTCGGCGCGGCAGCAGCTGGTCGACCTGCTCAACCTGGTCGAGCAGCGGGCCATGTGGCCATGGCAGCTCACCGCTACAACCAGTGCTACAGTGCCGAAGCCTGCTGGGGGGGGGGGGCGTCATTGGCATGCTGACGACGACGGCAAAGATTTGGCCCAAGGTGCGCTCTACACTTACGGACGAGTGGGAGGCCTCCCAGGACCTGTGGTGGGACACCGCTATCAAGGGCAGTTCTGCCCTTAGGGCGGCCACCGTCCGTGCGTTGATGGACGAGACGTCGCTGTCGATGGGGCTCCACACGGCCACGCTGTTGCTGGACACTCAGAAGTTCTATGACAGCATTGGCTTCTCTCGGCTACTCCAAGTGGGGCTCCGCCTGGGCTTTCCTGCAGAGCCGCAGCGCTCTGCGGTGGCGGGCAGCCCCCACGGCAACAAGTGTGCGAAGCTCTTCTTGGCGCCCATGCTGCGGGCGGCCCACCTTGAGTGGGAATCTGCGCAGTTGTGGACCTTCGTTGGCGACGCAGTGGCGAGGGCTGAGGGGAAGCTGGAGCACGTTCAGTCTACCATCCTCGGCGTTGCGGAGTCCCTCAAGGCTGGCCTTGACGAGCAGCGCCTGCAGGTCTCTGGCAAGACTGTGGCCATCGCTAGCCACCCGCAGCTGGCTAAGGACATCCACCGTGCACTGGTGCGCAGGGGCGCCCCCTGTACCGCCACCAACCACGCAGCGGGCCTCGGCGTGGACACTACGGCGGGGCGTGTGCGCACGCAGCGCAGGGCGCCCACCAGGAGGAAGGCGGGGCACTGCCAGTTCCGCCGCATCTTCAAGATGAGGCGCCATGTCCAGCTCTCCAGGGTGACCAAGGCGTTGTGGTCTACTGCGGCGCTGCCGAGGTCGACGCACGGCCACCAGGCCTTCGGCTTGACACCCTCGGCCATCCTCAGGCTGAGGAGGCGTGTTGCGCTGTCGGCAGCGGGCAGAGGGCCTGGGAGATGCCTCACGAGCATCCTCGCCACCCCTCACGGCGACAAGGGGCCTGGCCTGGAGCTCAGGCGCCAGCTCCTGGGCGAGTGGCTCGACCTCTGGAGGCGGGCCCCACAGCTGCGCAGTCGCATCGAGTGTGCGTGGCCGAGCGTCCTGGCCAAGCTGACGAGGGCAGGCCCCAAGCGAAGGTGGCGAGCTGTGAGCGGCCCCATGGCTGCGCCCATGGCTATGTTGCTGGACGCGGGCTGGCTCCCTACCTCGGCGCGCTCGTGGACGACGGCCAGTTGTGTGGAATGGCGCCTTCCTGGCCACGAGGATCTCGACATGGACACGTCCGCGGTGCTGGATGAGTCCGTGGAGGACCTCAAGTGGGTGATGTGGAGCGCGGCCAGCAAGCACTTGCATGGAGACGACCTGCGCGGGGGCGCCGATGCAACCCTCATCGCCCGCGAGCAGCTGCGCTACCTGTCCAGGGGCCAGATGGACATGTATGCTCAGAACATCGTGGTCACTTCAGGTGGCCAATGGCCGCGGCTCAGGCAGAAGGAGGCGGGCTGCGCGCTGGAGTCTGGCACATGCCCCCGCTGCGGCCACGAGGACGAGACCTTGTTCCACCGCATCTGGTCTTGCTCTGCGAATTCGGGGGCGCAAGGAGCACGACTCCACCAACCACCTGGTGGCGCAGGCCAGTGTCCAGCACGGGGGCCAGCCCTCGCTATGGCTTCGTGGCCTCCCAGCGCTGCACCTCACGACACCGCTGCACGACGAGGACTTGGCGGAGTGGTCTTTCGAGGTTGGAGACTTCCGTGGAGCTCGAGGAGCTGATGGAGTGATTCACCTGTTTGGAGACAGCAGCGGGGGGGCCCACTCATCGGACCCCCGTCGCCGCCGCTGCGGGGCCGACTTTTGCTCCGTTTCCGTTGACGAGGAGGCGGCCGCCTGGCGCCTCGAGGGAGGTGTCCTGGGAGGGCTGCCTGCGCGCCAGACTGTCCCGCGCGCTGAACTCTTGGCCTTTGCCCCGGCCGTGGAGGCGACAGAAGGCCCCTTCATCTTTTACACTGAGAATCGGGCCTTGTATCTTGGGTGGCTTGCGGGGAGGCAGACCTCCCCTCTTGGGGCGAACGGGGACCTCTGGGCTCGTGTGAAGCGGAGCATTGCCTCCAGGGGGCCCCAGAGAGCTGCTGAGATCTCCGTTGCGTGGATCCCGTCGCACCTTGATGAGCAGGCCCACCTGTTAGTCTCGCCTAGTGTGGTCTTCCGTACTGCTGGGAACGCCTGTGCCGATGCTCTGGCGGGTGTCGCCGCCCAGGAGGCCCTCTCTCGGGGCCTCATTGGCGTTGCCCCGCACACAGATGCATGGGATGCCACCGCTGCGCAGGTTCGGACTCGTGCTAGGAAGGCCCTGGTTGACACACTTGAAGTTGACGCTTGGGAGGCGAAGAGACCTCCGAAGATTCGCGCCGCTCCTCAGCCAAAGCTCACCCGAGCCTTGGCGGCCAGCCAGCACGCTTGGACCTCCGTCCAAGGCGGTTGCTGGTTGTGCTCGGCTTGCCGTCTTCTGGTTCCTGGGTCCAGGGTCGAGGAAGCGGCCGAGTCTTCGTGCACCCCTGCCCCTGCGCCCAGAGTTGGCGGGGGCGTGGGGCTCCCGAACAGTATCGTGAAGAGCAATTCGTACGTGATCCTTGGGAACCAAGAGGTCCACCAGTTACATGAGCTGTACTTGTGGCAGGAACACATGCTGTATTTTTGCAATGTGTGCGGCTAGACGGCCACCACCAGGCTTGCTGGGCTGGTCGAGGTTTGCCACACCCCCACCAAGAGGGGGCGTCATAATCTCTCGCGAATCAGGCAGGACAAACTCCCGAGCTACGTGGGCTTGCCCAAGGGGGCCAAGGATGCCTCCCTGATTTTGCAGTCAGGAGTTGGAGCGGCTCCTCTCGAGGGCTCCAGCGAGGGACCTCCAGAGTGCTCTGCTGCTAAGGGCTCCAATGAGGGACCTCCTGAGAGCCCGTAGAGTGGTTGGTGGGACACTGCGCCCCCTTTGTATTTCATATCTCATATCTCATATATCATATCTTCCTCCTCCTCCTCCTCCTCCACTTCCTCCTCCTCCTCCTCCTCCTCCTCCTCCTCCTCATCCTCCTCCTCCTCCTCCTCCCCTCCTCCCCCTCCCCCATCCTCCCCCTCCCCTCCCCCTCCCCCCCCCCCCTCCTCCCCCCTCCTCCCCCTCCCCCTTCCCCCTCCTCCCTCCTCCTCCTCCTTCTCCTCCTCCTCCTCCCTCCTCCCCTCCTCCTCCCTCCTCCTCCTCCCTCCTCCTCCTCCTCCCCCTCCTCCCCTCCCCATCCTCCCCCTCCCCCCCCCCCTCCCCCTCCTCCCCCTCCTCCCCCCTCCTCCTCCCCCTCCTCCTCCTCCTCCTCCTCCTCCTCCTCTCCTCCTCCTCCTCCTCCTCCTCCTCCTCCTCCTCCTCCTCCTCCTTGGCGTCTCTTTGGGGCGCTCCGGGAGCGGCGGAGGCCCCTCTTTTGGGGGCCTTCCCGTGCGGCGTTTCGGGGGGGGGACCCCTTGAGGCCCCCGCCCGGGCCGCGGCAGATCTGGGGCCGCCTTGGGCTCTTCGGGGGCCCCCAAACGGGGTGGTGACCACACCGTGTGGTGAGTTGGTGGGGGTTCGGGGTCACCACGCGGTTTTGGGACTTGGGTCGTTCTCCGAGGATGTTTCGGGCGACTGGAGCCTCCAGGGTCCCAAAACCGTGTGGTGACGGACCGTGCGGGGAGGTCTCTTGGGGTTCCGAGGTCACCGCACGGTCTGTCACCGCACGGTCTTGGGATCCCCAAGCTCTGGAGCTCTCTTGGGGTTCTCGCGCGCGAAACGCTCGTGTCCCTCTACAGGGGGAGCACATCCAAAAATGGTAGACACACAGCAGGGGGGACGATTCCTGGACTATGTTGAAACCCTGTTTGGTTCATGTTTGAGCATGTTTTTTTTGTTGTTGTTCAATTCCCGTCTGTAGGACGACGTGCCCGACCCAAGCGTCTCGGGGACGTCTCGGTGGCGTCTCTCGGTCCCTCGGTGGCGTTCCCGAAGCGGCGGAGGCCCCATCGTGGGGCATTCGTGCGGCATCTCGGGTGCCTTTTGAGGCCCCCTGAGGTGTAAGTCGGGCGTGTCCTTTTGCAGGAGGAATATGTAAAAATAGCCGCAAGTAGTCGGGGGACGACTTTTTAAGCCTTTTTCGTATAATGTTTAATGATTGTTTGGGACTTTTTGGGTGTTTTTGCTTTTTCTTCCCAAATCCGCCTGTAGGGGGACGTGCCCGACCGAACCTTCGGTCTGTCCAGGCTGGGGCAGACCTGAGGCCGCCTACTTTAGGGCTCTGGAGCTCTCTTGGGGTTCTCGCATGCAGAACACCCGCGCTCAGTGGCCTGCTGTGCTCGAGGAAGGTGAGGGGGCGGGGATGCTCGCTTTTCTGGGTGCAGGAAGCGTGGACCCAAAAAACCCTGGGGGCCCCCCGTGAGGCCCCCGCGAGGTCAGTGCAGGCTGGGGCTCCCGGCCCTCCAGGGAGGCCCCGCCAGCCCCGGAGAGCCCCCATAGGGCATTGAGGATACAAGTTTGGAAACTTCTTGGGAGCTGCTTGGTGACCTCCGGTGGCTTCTCGGGGACCTCGGGGGGCATTTTGGGGCCTCCTGGGGCCTCCAGGAAACTTCTGGGGGTGGAGAGATCGAGAGGTTGGTTCGTGTGCCTTCTCTCGGGCAGATCTGGGCCGTCTTGGGCTCTGGAGCTCTCGGGGGTTGTGATGTTCCAGCCTGCTCTGTCCTGGGTCGCCAGGGGGCATTTCGGGCGCCGGGGGAGTTCCGAAACTGGAGGGTTTTCGCGGGT